GAGATCTCGACAAAGAGATCCAGTTACCGATCTTTGACAACAACATACACATTGCAGCTCTTCACCACTGACGGAGCGCAGATGTCAAATCATTTTTGTGCACAGTCCATGATTGCATTGCCCTGTTCGTCGCTTGGGAGAAAGGGTCCCTATAGGCGCAGTCTTGCGATGCCAAGTTTCCAAGGCTTAAGTCTGTATGCTCCCAAGTTATATACGTGCGGCCGCTACGGAGCGTTCAGTTATGTGTGGTAATGTGTGGTAGCTTTCCTGCCCAGGATTGTTCGTGCGATGTAGTAGAGCGCGGCTCTGCGATAGTATGCGAAAACTGCACCTGGGCGTGCATGACTCTTCTATGCTCTTCTTAACCAGCTGTTCGGCATCGTCTTGTCGCTGGGGCTGCAAGATGCAAGGAGGGGGACGACTTCAATAGCGGCTCCAGATTCCTGGCGGACACATCGCGAAGATGTCTGTAGTTTGCAATTGTGCCGAGTCTTTGCCGTCGAGGCACCAGGTCTTGTAATAAGTCAGGGAAAGGGAATCCTCCATGGCCGGGGTGTAGGAGTGGGGGAAGACGAACCTCAGACTGGTAGCAGCTCGGAAGCCCAAGCTAAGCTAGGGGATTGATTGTGAATCTGGCTTTGGCTCGGGGCTCCTCATCCTGGCCCTGCGCAGAACTTGGAACCGATAGCCGATAGCCTTATTGGAGCCGTGCGGCTCGTTTTCGGTGCCGCGATACGACAGGACCCCTGCCTGGCAGCGAAGGGAGCATGGCTTCATGGCTTGCACTGGCACCACACGAGTTTGGAACGACTGGCGACTCTCAGAAATCCTGCGGCATCCGTAGAAGATCGTAGGAAAAATGGTCTCATAGAGTCTTCGCCTGCTTCGGAGCGATTGCTGGGCAACAGCTGGAGAGCAAGGTGACCATGGCATCGGCGGTGGCACTCCAGACCTGCAGTGGGCTTCCAAGAGTTCTAAGCCAGCAGACCCTTCCCCGAGCTATGGCCTCCATCGTCACGTGATCTTCGAAAGGGACACCGGGAAGACTACATTTTCTGTCCTCACACTGTATCGTGCGACGCGTCGAGACTTCTTTGGCTCAAAAGCAGGAAAAGCAAGTCAAGAAATTGAGTCTGTCCTCCATGCTGAGTGCATCTATGTCTTGGCAGCCGGCGACTGCCAGGAAGGCCTGCAAAGGGACTGTTGGCAGAAACTGGCTGCGTGATGATCTGGATGCCGTTTCTACTTTGCCAGTATCCCTCTCCTGATACGCAGGCACATCAGAACGTGGTGGTTCGAGGTCCAGTGCAGGTTAGCACATCGCGCCTTATCGGAGCCGCCAATTGTCCGAGTGATTTCCGCATTGTAGCCAAGGATTTCCCGAAACCTGGCTCTGCGACTGACCACAAGCTGTGCGCAGCACTGAAGTTTCAAGCTCGGTGCATGGAATGAATCATGGTACGCCAAACAAGGAAACGGCGCAAACAGAAAGCTTCGGCTTCGCTGCTGCAAGTCTGCTTGCTCATAGATACAACCGGAAGAAAACATACCACCGGAAGAAAACAAAATCTTCAAAGACGGGAAGGCTTTGACCTCTTGTGGTGCGCGAAAAAATTGCTGTGAATCGATGCTCCACTCTACAGTTTCGCTTGTCCAAATATCCAACTCCGAGGCGGTAAGAGGCTCCCCTCAAGTGGATCCCATTCCCACAGTAGCCAACTCAGGTGCCGGCACAATTATCATGATCTCGCGATTGATCCTGGCCTTTGCTGCAACTTACTTCTTCTTTACCCTGGTCGGCATGCCTGCGTGCAGTGTGGAAACGACTAAGAAGTCCAGTCCACACCGTAAGACAGCGATTGTACATGTGGAGGTTGTAGACTGGATAGAAAACTAGGACTAGCACACTTTCTTGGAAAGCGGTGCAACTTTGATGGTCCTTACAGAAGCTTGTGGTACCAACGACATCGACCCTGCAGGTCTTGATCCTGGAATCTGTTTCGCTGACCTGCACATGCTCGCCTACTTTTAACATGTAGGGGTATCTACGACTAAACCGGAAAGCCTGTAACTGTTGCCAGAAATCCTGTCAAACCCATGAAACGTCATCCGACTGCGTGATGCCGGTAGTTTTGATAGCTTCATGTTGGTGATGCGAAGGAAAAGCGCTAGGATCTATCACTACGCTCGTACTTACAGGAAGCTCACATGCTTGCCGTACTACTGCATAACTCTCTCATGCGGTTTACTGAGAATATTCATGGCGCGACGAAGAGCACCATCAAATACGCATTCGGCCGTACGCGTCCTGATGATGTTGTACGGAGGTACTTGAGACTAAAAGCCATCATGGTGCCACCGTGAATGAGGCGTGCTGGGTTCCATAATAGATCTGATTCATGTTACAAGCGTGTCACCTGCGAAGGTGCGATTGACGGTTCTAGAGACAAGTCTGTTTGCACGAGACACGAAGACGAGTGACGTCAGTAAGCGATTGCAAGCAAGGTACCGAGTCCCAATTGACGGTGGGCAGACCAATTGGCATAGAGACACCTGTGGCAACGCCCCTTCGGCCCTAGGTTTTTATGGCTACACTTGACACATGCAAGGAAGGGTTGCAGAACAGGCCGTGAAACGGCTCTTGTTCACAACTTGCTTACCTCCCAGACACGACACACCTTGCCTTCTCCAGAGGTCAACTTATACGGCTGTAGGACTGTAGGTGGCAACACCAGATGCGTGCCGGGGAAACCGTCCAGGCTTGCTGACTACAACAGATGTCTTCTTGTCCTGCTTAAACAGAGCGTTGTGCGAAGGCCCATTGGCTCGCCCGACCTTCGATGGTGACATTCAGCCGTGCAGAAGCTGGAACGAATGTCGACAGACACTCGGCATTGACATAGATCACGGATGCCACAAACCTGTCATGCAGGAGCGATTTTCTTGCACAATTCGAGCCGCAATCGTAGTGCGCTGCGGATAGCCCACACTCCGATAATTATGCTTGGTACGACTGTGATCTTGAGCTTGCGAGGTAATCTGGTGGGTGATTTCGAGGGCAAGATGCATGTGCTTGCTGAAATCTTGGGAGGCGTACGAGCAAGCTTCTCGGAGAGCCGTAGATCCGAAGCCACAGAGTAAGTTCTTCGAGTGTCTTGCAGTACAGCACCGTCCCTGCTTCCCACTTTAACCAAGCGACGTCAGCAGTCTGAGGCAAGACGCCATCCTCGGTCCGTAAACTGCAGAGAGGCTATTGTTGAGGTGTACATGCAATGCCTGTCGTGTAAATACAGTTTCGCAGCACTTGTTCCCTGAACTTCTGGCCAGCTGCCTGTCAGGTATTCAACTGATGCGGGTTTGAATTGCACCGTGTTCGCAATCTGGTTATACAGAAACTCTTGCCCTCACGAAAGGCGATCACCCGAGCACCAGGTCCTGCTTCACTAGCCTCGACAGTCTTTGTCATGATCGTAAATACTAAGGATTCACAAGCCCACGATGACCGCATGCAATCTTCGTCATGACGGGCCATGTAAGGTCAGCACCAACCGATGACACTTCGCTACAACACTAGCCAACTTCACGGGCACGGAACGAAGGAAGTCGGGTCTTTGTAGCCATGAAAGGAAAAGAGAGGTCAGTCAGAGCTCGGAACCAATTATCACCGACCGCTGACTGCGTCCCGAGCTGCCCGTCTCGGGGTAGACGCAGCATCAGCACTCTTGAACAAGTACTGCTGCGGACGGGAGGTAGGGACAGCTTGGAAGCATGAGGCATTTAAACTGGTCCTTCATGCCTGTACTTCATGTCGAGCAAGAGCCTGAAAACCCATGAAGGCCTCAAGCGAACAGCCAAAGCTTCCACTAAGCAGCACCTAAAGCTCGCTACGAAAAGCATTGCATATCCTCGCCGGAAATCGACTGAGATCGACTAAGGGTGGAATATGTACCTGTCTGAGCCACAACGACAGTCTCGTCATGTCGCGGATGTCACCGATGACTTTTTGCTCCTCGATGCGCGCGCGCGCCCAGCGCTGCTAAGGAGCAATGAGACCACAATACAAACGGTGAGAACTCGGGCGCAATTCTGGGATTCGAAATGAGAATGCCAACAGCATGAGCCTATCCTGTGCTCGTGTTCACACCGAGAATAAGCGGGACCAGATCATCCCTTCAATGGTAATCTTGCGAGTTGCCCTGGTCGAACTTTCACGCAGAGCTTTCGGAACTATGCCAAGCAAGTGCGGTGATGGCAAACAACGACAAGGGAGTGGATACGTTTTATTGAGGTCTCAAAAGCTCAAAGGCGAGCCAGAACTCGCGAAGAGCTTTACTTGGTTCTACCAAGCGTCCACCGGCTTTGCCGAAGGGTTAGCAAGGAAACGGATCGAATTTGAGGCACCTGCTCATTCCTCGCACAAGGATGCAATGGATGCTTGTCTTTGTGTAACATGTGTCCGAGGTACTGAAGCAGACGGACATCAGAGCAAAACAGGTCCGTCCTGATCCGAATGCCAGGTAGAAGGCCAAAGTTCTTTCAAGCGAGGCGCTCAAATTTCGCTGCAGTCGAGTCAATGAGCAAGGTGCCCCAGGGTGCGTGGAGTCACTGATGAGCTCGCATGCAATCGAACATTACGTGAAACCAACTCATCCGGACGGAGCTGGTAGCTGGAGCAACGTCGTGCTTGTCTGATTTGCTGTTGTTTCAATTTAGCACTTGAAGCATCCATTAGGAAGAATCCAGAACGCATAGACGGCTTGCAGCTCCCCATGCGAAAACAATTCGCATGGCTGTGGAACATCGCACATAATGTCAAGAACCGAAAGGGTAGTCCCTTCCGACCACCTATGTTCCTCTTGTACCCCACACGATATAACCTGAGCTTGGGAATGCCAAAAAGCTCGGCCTAGGGTCTAGGGTGCGGATCTCTCACTGGGCCTAAGGCCACGAATCCGGCCGCCGAACAATTTGCAAGTCACGCAGCCAGGAGACGGATTGGACTAAGCCCATGTCACCTTCAGGGTGCACTCTGCAGGATTCCATGAAGCTTTTGCTGCAGGGTTCGCCTGACTCCTACACTTCACACCTGGATTTACCACAATCTAGTAGCTGCTAGTAGCACTTCGAAACAACTGATCTAGTCGCATGCGCTGCTCGCTTGCAGATCTCTGGCTTCTTGAATAGTAGCATATCGGATGCCGAGACAAGCACTAAAGGATTAGAGAACCATCACATTCACGGTGCTTGCCCGACCAGCCTGTGACCGCGTGATGCCGCACACAAACGCATCTTTTTCGGGGTCCGTTTTCTTCTCCTGTCAGTGCTGGGCTGAGCTTGAAGGCCACAGGCGCAATGTAACCTGGAGCTAGGATCTATCAGTCCAGAAGATTCTGCTGGGGGTTTGCACAGGCTGCAGGGCCCTGCCAGAACTCCGAGTCAACAATGGTCTGATTTGATGATGCTCTGGTCCAACACCAACAAGCTGAGCCGTCGCAGCAGTGTCGTGGTGTCGCTGCCCGGGCATGCCGGTGCAAGCCATCGGTGTGGGCCTGGCCTCTTGCCAAACAAGGCGCCCAGGTACACGATTGTCGAGGATTTCTGCCGACATCATCGTTGCAACCTGGGGTAGTGTGCAGACAACGGAGCTTGTGCTGCTCCCTCAAATTATCAAGCCTTTAAACCTTTGGATCTAATCCACCAGGGCGTCTGCTGCCGACAGCCAGGACTGTCTCCAACTGGCTCTCACTGTACGACCCTACTCTTCGAAGGGAAAACAAGCTCAACAAGACTTGCTGCAGCAAATCGGAAGCAGAGACTGTTGAAATAGCAGAGAGATCCGTTTCATCAGAATCCCAGAACAAGCCCCCTGTTGTGCTTCGCCATGCTCCCCAAAATTTATTTCGATGGAAGTCCAACTCACGTCATGGGGTTGTAACGAAGTCTTTGGTAAGGCCTGCGGCAGAGATCGAGCCACATTGCAGTTTCAATTTCAATACTGTAGACAGAGAACTTTGCGCAAACTTTGAGCAGCTTATAGCAGCTTGCTCAGGAAAAACGGGTTGAGAGAAGGAAAGGGAATGGGTGGCCCAAGCCGTGGGTCCGACAACCTGCGGCAACAGGGCATGGTTGGGGTGGAAGTAAAACCGATGTTTTCCTGCGGTTTGGCAATTTCTTCCCCGTCGAGTTTGCAACTCCGGCTGCTGTCGCTGTTTTGGGGCACGAGCTTCTGCAACTTCACCGGCTGTGACAGTTAAGCAAAGTCAGCCTCTGCAACTTGTGCAGCTGTCACACATGTATTTGGGGGTATTCTCTACAATCATTTCTGTGCTCTTGCACTCCACACATGTTTGTATGCGAACTTGTGTAATTCTCGCATGTGGTTCGAAGGCACCTTGGGCAGCAGGTGTGAAAAGAAGATGCCCGATGAACGTAGCATGTGCGCCATGCATTTGTTGTTGCGAAAGGGACCACATCCATGGGCTCGATGGCGTTGGTCTCTAAAATGTATTGGATGTATTGGATGTATTCTGAGATGTTATTGCACAACGATGATTTCGATCACACGCTTTTCTGTGATTTGCATGAACCTTTTGACGATGTACAGGATGCTACTACAACGGTTGAGTTCCACCTTGGCTCTGACTTGTGACTTGTTTACGCCGGTCATCCTGCTTTCGTTCGTGAGTGACGTTTGCGAACCTTTCATGCGTTTGCAGAAGCTGTGCCAATTGATGTGCCTGACACGTATGTGGTCGCGTGGAAAACACAGCTGGGGGTTACTATGTATGCTTGCTATGAGCACTCCTATTTGTGAAGCAGCTATGCAACCAACGCGCATTGTCTTCACCGGAAACTGCCTATGGAAACACTCGCATGTGCTATACCTGTCTAACCTGGTTTCTGCTGTCCGACTTGCTGAAGCGGCTCTTTTGCAATGGCAACAGTTTTACCCATACTGGATGCACATGCAAACGAACCTGAGTGATACAGCTGGATTGCCTTTGGTTCATCGAGAATGCGGCAGGCTCCTCAAACACCTTTGTCAGATCTCTGCATGGGCCCACCACATCCAGCAAAGACGTCTGCAGGAGTAAGTGGCCCAGATGTATGTGTACTATCCGCATCCACCCACATAACTGGACCACTTCCTGTGACATTTCAGCGTCTGAACATGCTGCAGCGCGACCCGGTGATGTCCCTTTCACTCCAGCTGGTAGGTCAGATGTGTGGCCCAGTATTATCCGTATTGAAGAGATTAAAGCCACGGTGTACAGGGACTTTCTGCTGACATCGCGGACTCACTATGATCAGCGACTGCACAATTTCTGCCAGCTCGCTGCAGCGAAGTGCGGCTTTCCAAACCGTGCGTCGACAGGCATATTGTACATGTGGGCAGCGCCATGGTGTAAGCACCTGTATATCGGACAAACGGGTACCCATGGCTGGAAACGCATGCGTACACATGTTTATGCCTTGAATGCTGGTAGCGATACTGGCAAGCTTTATGACCAGATGCGTAAGATGCACATCTCACGCTTTGTATTCCTTCCAGTTTGTGATCTTTCAGTCGTTGCACCATACCATGCTGATCGCCTTTTCTAGCACTCACTGACCCTGACGGACGGGCTCCCAGACTCATTGCTCAACAGTCATTTGGAAGCCGCCGCGCGCAGGTCAAAGGACTTATTGGACACCTTGTACGAATCCTTGACTTTGCTATTGGCACCTCATCTGACCTGCATTGCTGCTTGTACATGCAGCTCTCTGAGCTGCGATCCGCTGGTTATTTTCGACTGCTGCAATGTATCGCCTAATTTGGCACATTCACTCACGTATGCCGTTTCTGAGCCTACCTTCTGCACTCCGAAACGCAGCGATGCCAAGCTTGAGCTTGCGGCTTTTCTGCGAAGCCAAACTGCAGAGCCTAAGCTTGCATCTCGGACGAGACCGTGTTGCGTAGCTTTCCCGTTTGCGTTCGTTCTGAGCCCTCGTACACCGATAATAACTGTCACACCGAACCACGTGCACAGCTTGCGAGATTCGTGCCGATTCTTTTAGTGTGTGTTCAAGTCCTTTGAGTGGAGTGGCATAGAAGTCTGCTGCTCAGCATGGCCGCGCATCCACTGGTCGCCCTCGGCCAGCTAGCACAAGCTTTTGCACAGGGCCCGGGTGTACCTCGACAAGCTCCTGTCACCGGTGGTGCTCCCCGCATATGCTTCCAATATCGTGATACAGGACGATGCTCACGTGGCGATTCCTGCACTTTCCAACACTCTGGCACGACGAACTCCTCAGCAACGCTCATAGGTGCAGATGCCGCTTCTCGTGGAGGTCACAAGGCTCCCCATGACAAAGGTATTACGCATGACTTCCATGGCTTCACTACGGGTGCTATGCCTGACAACAAGAAGTCTGCGCAGATAACCGTTGTTGAGCATGAGGATATCGTCGCGAATCTCTCCACAACAAGCGATGGCCAGCTGCGATACCGAGTGATTCCCATTCACGCTGAGGCCTTTGATCCTGTGGCGGAGCTTTTGCTTTACTTCGACAGTCAGGCCACTTGTCAGGGCAAACCTGTGACGAAGGAAGCAATCCAACGAGCAGTGCAGGATGTGATTCATGACCTGACGCGTGAAGGGTGGAAGCCATGCCAGGCCCAGGATGGAAATGCGCAGCCGCAGAGTGGTTTGTCGCCAGAGATCGCACCGCTACTGGAGAGCATTCGCGAACTCACGAGTGCCGTTCGACAGCAGGCATCTTCCAGTAGTTCTCATGGTAAGCGTGAGGCTCATCCCAGGCCGAGTGAGGTTGCTAAGCAGCTCCAGACCATGTCAGTGGCAGACCGTCAAGCTGCACTTCAAGCATTGGGCATGCCAGGGGAGTGGCCGGCGAACTCGATGATGTCGTCACCGCCTCATAAGATCTTTGCTGCCACGCCGGGTGCGTTTACCAGTGCTGGTGGCCATGATGTGACGCATGGTGTGTACTGCGGTGATCTCTTCAAGGACGAGGAGGATGCCCTTCCCCCAAGTGGTCCCGAGCTCCCCGTAGCAGACGTTTCGCACGAGTTCTTAGCCTTGGTGCGTACTGCCACATCTGAGCTACCGTATGTGCGGGAGAAGGCCCCTTTCGACATCGCAGACCCGGTGCGCATTTCACAGTTCGACGGGATGCTTGGCCCATGGGATAACCGCCTTCCGGTTGCGAAGCTGTTCCCTGGCCTACAGGACATCCTGGGTGATCAACCGCCACAAGTGCTCAGCATGATGAAGGAGTTGATTCCCAAAATCGTTCGACAGCTGAACCTCGTTGCCAAGCCCGGTACCCGCCTCGACTTGTTGTATAAAACTTACGGGTTTTGCTTCCAGTCCCGCGGGCAACAAGATGCCGGTGTCGTAGGACTTGCTTTGTGCATTAGTCGGCAGGCGAACCTACTGACATGCACCCCGGATGTCCCGACTGTCTGAGTGCATGACGGGTATCCGGTTATTGACTCTTCTGTGCTCTTGCACTCCACACATGTTTGTATGCGAACTTGTGTAATTCTCGCATGTGGTTCGAAGGCACCTTGGGCAGCAGGTGTGAAAAGAAGATGCCCGATGAACGTAGCATGTGCGCCATGCATTTGTTGTTACTATGACTTTTTGGTCAAGAGGTTTGGGCGGTTATTACAGCTCCGCTACAGCTCCCGATACAGATCCCGCTACAGCTCCGTTACAGCTCCGCTACAGCTCCGTTACAGCTCCGGTTACAGCTTCGTTACAGCTCGCGTTACAGCTCGCGTTACAGCTCCGTTACAGCCCCGTTACAGCTCCCGTTACAGCGCCGTTACAGCTCCCGTTACAACTCCGTTACAGCTCCCGCTACAGCTCCTCATATGGTTGACCGCAAGCAGTAGTAGCAGCAGCAGTAGCAGCAATGCCTCTACAAACACTAAATCTCGAAAAAACCGACGCGCGCCCCACCCAATCATCATCCTCACCATCTTCAGCATCACCGTTAATTAACCTGACCATCTTCATCATCATCTTCATACTCATCATCCTTATCATCATCATCACAAACCCGAGTAGTCAGTTTTTTTGAGGTTGGCTTAACTACAATTTCTACAGCCCCGGAAAAAGCCAGCAATTTACACCCTCGAACCACTGAAAACTACCAGGCGCCAGGAGGCGCGCAGCCCTAGTAGTAGTACAGTGTGCCGGGAAACGAGGGCCGATATTTGACCAACTTTGTGTGGCAAACTTATTCATCTTAGGTTGTTCTTGAAGGGGGGCGGCCAAGATGGCACGCAAGCTTGCAGCCATCTTGACCAAAAACCACTTGCACCACTTGGGGAGCAAGACTCGCAAGAGGGGCAAGATTTGCAAGATTAGCAAGACCTTCGTCACAATCAGCGGCCCTCAATTCCCGGCACAATGCTGTAGAAGTTGCAGCAGCAGTAGTAGTTGGTAGTCTAGTTTTAATCATGCTGGGGACTGGTTTACGATTCGCAGGCTCGGTCTGCAGAGCGAAAGTTCCAAGCGTGATGCAACTCTACATGTATGCTTTTGGCTACCTGCAGCGCGGCGAGCGAGCGACCTTCGAAATTCTCCGGCGCGCACTGCAGCACACCGAAGCAGAACACAGCTGACGCAGGCCGTGGTGATTGGGGCTTTACAAGCTGGTACAGATTCCACCGTTGAGGAGGATTGATGTTGGGGGTGCTTGTAAATTGAAGAAGGAACCAGCCCCCCCCCCCCCCCAAACACAATTCATCACCTGTCGCAAGCAAGCCGCATACTTTAAGTTCACAATGTCCAGAGCGGGGATTTCCCCCATCAGGTCTGCCATCATTCGAGGGTCCGTGGCGGTCGGGAAGACCTGCGTCGATTTGAGAGGACAGGTATCCCCTGGATGGCCCGATGGCCGTCGGATGGCCCGGCCTCGGCCATGCGCTTTGCATAGTAGTTCAACATCCTCTCCCTGACAGACACTTCATGCCGGAACAGCTTCCAACTGCACACATCAAGCAGCAGCATCACCTCATTAGATCTCTGCAACTTCCTTCCCACAGCAAGAAAAGAGCTATCGATCTGGACAGGCACTGGCCACGGTGTGCATGGCAAGCGCGGCACAATGCAGAGGTCCACAAAGAAAAAGCCTAGGCCTCTAGACTTGATCACTACAGGGATCTAGAGGGGGGATCACGGACGTGAGCTTCGAAATTTTTGATAATGAAGACATGGCAGTGCCGTATCTTCGAAACTTCAACACCAACACAGCTCAGGTGCACGTGTATCGCATGAAACTTGTCAACGCTGAAGCCAGAACCCTTTTGTGCTATGTTGTGAAACCATCGGCGGCCTTCTGGTCTTGTAGCCTGGCCACGCGGCCTGCTTGCGCCGCCCTCTCTGCTCGAAAACTTAAGGTACAGGCTTCTGCTGACTTTTAGTTGGGCAAGCAGGTCCGAGTCATGCAGCCTGACAGTAGCAGACTCAAAGCACTAGTTATGAGTGTGCACAGTCATAGGACAGCATAACCCAAAGACCTCCTGCGTACGACGACTGCGTGCTGAAGCGATGACTGGTGGTTCAGGACGGCGGGTCCGCGTCGTCTCGCCTTGTACAAGATCCAGAGGAGGCTGGTCACAACGGCTAGGAAGGAGAGACCGGCCAAGATAAGGAAGAACATCCTCGCTGTGCCAGAGACCGAGAATTCGAGTATGTTGACAGCAACTGCTTGGGCATGGAGCCATCATGTTGCGTCGAGTTTCTGCAGTCAACTTCACTCCGCTGATACGACTCGATCGTTCCATCACTTGTAGAAATCCAAATCAGCCAAGAAGCGAAGCCACATCAGACTCCTCGGGCTTAAAGGTCAAAAGGAACGGGAGGAGCAGGCAAAGCAGCAAGATGGAGACGTGGGTGCCAATGTCCTCCCAAAAACGCTGCTCCTGTCTGTGCTTCTTCTCTATATGGCTTGAGCTCCTGACGATGACTGCATGTAGCCCAGTGTTCAATGCCGAACGACAACGGCATGTGCTCGAAGCAAAGACTACTGGCAAGTGTAAGCTCATGTCTGCTACTTGTAGCAACTAGTCTAGCGGCTGGCCCAGAAACCCGGATGGGCCGCAGCAGCACACTGCAGAACTCGCACTAGCACCACTGGGCAACTTCTGTCCAGCATGGCCACGAAAACGCTCCGCCATGGCAGCAGAACGTAGCTGCCCGTGAAGTAAGCAAGGAGGCCTCTCAACTCAAAAGATGCACTAGTGATCTCACACTGACGCTGTTACCATCCTTGCTGCCAGCCAAAGTGAAAATGCTGCAAGCTCTCTGTCTCAGCACTGCTTCGGCTGCAGAGCAGATCGCAGGCCGCACCGTGCAGACAGCCCTGCCTGCGCAGATCCAAAGCGACTGAGTCATCGTGGTGTTCCACAGCACTGATGTCAGAGCCAACCACAGGCCCTGGCATCAATTAGGATCACCACCCAGCGTCCACAGATTCAGATGTCTACAGCCTGAAACTGTGTGCTGGAAACGGCGCATGACTTTTCGAGATTTCACCTCTCCAACTGCAACATCATCAGGCTTGCGTGCAAGGACGCGTGAGGGCTCAGGAATGCAGCCAAGCGGGGGGGCTGGCATACTTTAGTAGGGCGTGAAGATAATCTACCATCGATGCCCAGGGACTGCTCAAACTCTTTCGGCCGGAGACAAAACTGCGTTCGAAGACATCCGACGTACTGTACACACGATGTAAGCCAGAGCACCTTCCTGAGTGTTGGACACTCCAACCACATGCATAGAACATGCTAGGCAATTTTAGGCTAAGCCGCTAAGCATGCGCAACTTCTGGGTCGGAACCTGTCCCAGAACGAAGCCGTTAGATTGAAGACTCCTCGATTCTGGGCAACACGGCCTACACGCGACGGATGCGACAGATGGGCCGAAATCAACCACTAGTCACCAGAAGAAATGGCCAATTCAAGAATGGCCTTGATGAGGATGACCATCATCCACCAATGCACGGATGGCCTTCGGAATGCCAGGTGATTTCGGGGCCATGGGGAACCTGGAGAGTTTGCAGACTAAGCTGCCTGGGATGCACCGCCAAAACGTTAGTGATGGGCACGGCGCACACAACCAGGCAGTTACAGTTGGGTGAACCACATCGTGTCAGCGTCGACCTTGCCTCATCTTCTGAATCATGAACTTCCAGCGCCGACGGAAAGATACTTGGTGGAACCTGCTCGAGCAAACAGCAGAATGATTCTATGTTTATTCTAACCATTGGTGCTTCCCAAGTTGGCGCGACCATGTTCAAAGGGGTTCTTGTTTATCAGGCCGGCACTGCATCTCCACGAAAGTAGGCTTGGACCACGGCTTGGATAAATAGGTTCGTCGTACACGCTACGGCTGACCAGCAGCACTTGTGAAACACGCTCCCTTCTTGCCACCCCCGGCCCAAGCGACGGTGGCACTCGAGGACAGTCTGGATTGACAAACCTTTTGGGGACGGGCTTGGACTTGGCATGGAGAGGGCCTGATGGCTCTGACTCCAGGATATCATGAGTGAGACTTGTTTAGACGCTGCAGTTTTCTCTTCACTCGACTGCCTTCTGTATTTTGCCCGAAATCAAAGTCACCGAAGCTCGCTTTAGAACGCGGCCAAAGTTTCGCTACAACCTCCAAGACAGTCCAAAGACAAAACGTTTGGCCCCAGTTGCATGATGCCTGCATCTTTTGCCAACATGAGAAACCAAAGCGAGAGTTCCTATCGCGAGCGATGCAAGAGAAGTTCCAATGAGGCATAAGCGGCGCCCAAAGGCTGCGTGAAGGTGACTCCGCTTTGTTACTTCGACCTGGGCCTGCCGAACAGCCTAGGGCCGAGGGATCATCGAGGAAAGACAAAGATCATGACCATGGCATCGTCGTCATCATGCGCAGCAACAGCAGCAGCACCACCAGCACCAGCACCAGGACCAGCATCATCGTCATCCTCATCGTCATCAGTTTAGCACCAGGCCTTGGGACTGGGACTTCAAGAGCAAGACATCGAGCAACGTGTGCATCTTCTCCTTGCTTACAACCCTACCTGGACCTGGATCACGACAGGTGCAAATCGGGGCAGCCTTGCGGGGGCCACCCACATCGCCCACCCGAAGACCACGAGCAGAGTAAGGCAGTTGAGACAGATGGCGAAGGCCGAAAAGCCGACCATGCCTGCAACAATAAAGTAGCGCACCAAGCAATATCTGCAATCGTAACATGGCGTAATGTAGAGGCTGCCGTCGGTCTTTGGAGCTGACATCTTAATGCTTACACCGGCTCATAAGTACAGTCCGCGAGGCTCAACACAGGCGGATATGAATCGGAAAAGCATGGTTACGAGTCCGACATGCACACGCCAAACATATATGTAAATACATTAGAATACATAGAACACAATATATGCATCCATATACCTCTGAAACCTTTCTCTATGCAAGACACATAATTAAGCGTGTATCTAAAGTCTACAGTATGGTATATACCTACGTGTCATCAACCATCTAACTCTCGATCAAGGACTTTGCTTATCTGCTTATTTACCTGCTATGCTTGTTCAATAATGTCAGCTATCGTTTTCTTTGTTCGTGACTACATATGTCCTTAGAGCAATACCTCTTTAGCTGCATTAATTCGTGCTCATATCTATGTGTACATCGAGATTGAGATTTATAAGTATCTGCTATTTCTACAGACACAAACATACATACACACAAACATATATACATACATACATACATACATACATACACACTGACAGACAGAGAGATGGACAGACAGACAGACAGACCGACAGACAGACCCACCGAGCGACGGACGGACGGGCAGACAGACAGCCAGCCAGACAGACCGACCGACACAGAGAGAGAGAGAGACACATGTGCAGACATAAAGACCTGCATGCTCGCAAATCCCTGATCATCATTAACCCGCGCGTTAGACGATTTTGTGACGGATTGCCATCGTTACTTTCGGACAACCCGGGCTCCGGTTCACACCGGGGCACTGAGCCACACATCCGAGTGTTCCAGTACCTCAGAGCACCGAAGAGTTTGGCTTCACGTTTCTCAAATCATGCCTTGGCAGGCGCAAGACTGGAAGATCACAGACAGCACCAATAAGCCTTCTAGTAGAATCCGAGGCTCCTCGGGCGAAGACCGCATTGACCGCATGCCGTTCGGATGACTGTAGCACTGGAACCTGGACATGCTTTGACTCCCAATGCACTGGGAGTGCGAGCATGGACATGAGATACCTCATATTGTTGGCACCGGCACTTCTGTGTTCACTCCGAGGTCTGAGCCCAAATTCGGGGACCAATTCGCTGTACTTACATTTGCCGCCTCGGCCCTTCGAGAATATGGGCACACCAAAGGCAAGTTCTTTCGTTTCTCGCTTGCTAAACCCTGCAGTGGTCCACAGAGTCGGCGCATCATGAGTCTCAAAATGCCGCATAGCGGCAAGGAGAAGCACTTGGAAGCGACCGTGACGAAGAAGGTCTTCAGAATGCCTATCAATTTGCGAGGCACCCGCGTGACATTTACTGAGCGCAGCACAGGCTGTTCTATTCCTTCTCTGTCTCCCGTTGCTTGCGACGAGGGAAAATCACACCAGCCAGGCAAAACCAATGGTCGTCGATCTGGCCATAAAGCTGCACTCAGTCGATGCTTCAGCTGGAGGCGCTCAGAAGCCCATCCTCTAAGTCAAGCTAATCAAACTTCTATCAGGTTTCCATTTGATGTCCGTGTTAGCCATGCATTCAGACCTCCGAAACAACCGAGCACGATGTCGCCGTCCATCCGGATCTTCGGAATGAACCGAGCCTGCAGATTGTTTCAGCTTGCAAGGTGTTAACACAAGCATGACCCAGATGCTAGGTTCTTCAATTTTACGTGCATGCGGCGATCGTTGCATCCTTATCGTCTTGAGCTTCGGACAGATTACCACGCTAAGGCCCCAGCTATCAGCCAAGTCAAGAAGAAGACCAAGCCAACGATCTCTGGCAGAAACCTGGCTTGGCACAGGCTCATGTCAGAACACCTGTCCCGATCTCTACACGGGACTTTCTGAAACAAGGGGACCCTGATATAGTGCGCTAGATAGTAGGATACTTACTATAAGGACCCCAATATAAGATGCCCGTAATTTTCGGAAACCCACACAAGTGAATGACGGACTACACTACACAGTTGCAGTGCCGGGTAGCGGCCGAGCAAACAAGCACCTCCTGATCGAATCTTATGAACTGGAGCCATCGCATTTTCATTGCTATACAGCATGGCAGCATGGCTGCGATCGCCTGTACGGATGGGAATGACAATTACCTCCCTTTCAGACACCAATTTAGCCTGATTCATCAAATGCCGATTCATCAGACGGTGAGGAAGTGGCTTGCAACATGACCAGCCCAACTCCAAGGAACAGTCAAGGGGTCAGTCAGAGGGCGCAGGTGTCGTGCGCTGTGTATGATTCCACTTTCGCCCTCCAACAGCCATTCCAACACCCTAATAGCAACTCACCGAAAGGCTTCGCGGCTGAGCGGTTGTGGATGCTCCACAGAACCACTTGTCCGATTTTCCTAATACCACTTCGACTTTCACAGACCAGGCACAGGTTGAACAGGAAGTTTTCGGTAAAACCGGCAGGGCCTGCGCAGGTGAGCCCATCAACACATCTGCGCACTGAAGCGAAGAGTTCTTGGCTGAGGATGACCCGCTTGGCTTAACTGATCAACTTGGCCTCACACTCTTCCGAGGAAAAGGCAACGCTTCAAGCTACAATGAATCTGAAAAATGAAAGCACTCCATGCAAAATACGAAGTCATAGCTCGAAGAACTGTATGTACATCTAGCTACCATGTCCAATCGCTTGCGACGTGCCTGCACACTCGATGCGGAACAGAGATGTGATCTCTGCACTGGCCCCGCTCCAACTCAAGCCTGTTGCCAGTGCTACTGAGAAGCCGCGGATTCATGGAGTACATGCAGTTTGCATCAAGGTCCTTTGGAACGTGAGGGACACGGTCATCACAAGTTCATGAGCTTCCCTAGAATGCCTTCCTCTGATGAGGTGAGCTGTAGCCGGTGTTCAGCGGTCGGCCGCTGCACGCATCCCGTTTCAGGTGCAAGATGCTGCGGGGATCGCCTTCAATCTAACGGTTGATGTTGGCTGCACCAAGTTCCCTGCCTGAGCTCAGCATCGCTGGGACAGTGGGGAAGACGGCCATGATCACGGAAATCGACTGGACATAAACGAGAAGCAGGTAGCCAATGCCGCCGAAACCTTCCAGCATCACGCGGAGTCTGGACACAGCTTGCTGCAGCAATGGCCGCATTTGGCTTCTTGACGTGCTCCTCACGAGTCTCGTGTCGTGGCAGAAGTGCGGCATATTGCGGGATCGATCAAGGGCAGGTCTGTTAAACCCATATAGGTCCCTCGACGCACTGGCCTTGTGTCGTCTTTCCCCATTTTCCAACGTCATCCTGCGACACCTCGATACGGAGAGAGAGGATTCAGGAGATGTGGTGTAGCAAGGTGTAACTTGACTTCTGCTGTCCAAAGCCGAATACGGCAGTCTCAAGATGTGCTGCATCTTCGGTACTGTACTGATTTATCCTGAAGATGCCGCAGTCTTTGACGTCGTCTCACCTCAGAACAAGCCCTTGTCACCTGCACCCTGTAGGGGCCCTGATGCATGCCTTGTACAAGACAAAGATGGCGGCCGGCGACAGTAGAAGCCTACAGCAGAGCAAAAGTGGTCATCGACGTCAACGGAGGTGACGGGTTCAAAGCAGATGCCATGGAGCTCTACAGAGTGTCGAAAAGCAATGCTGTCAAAGAACAAGCGGAGACTGCTAGGGTCCCGTAAAACCTAGAGGACCTAGGTTTTGTCGGCTGTGCCGATATGGGTCCGGAATTATTTGAGGAATTTTTTTGTTTTATTTGGGGAATTTTTTTTGTTTTTAGCTTTTGCTTGGGAAAGGGGGGGCAGGGAGGGAGGGAGGGAGGGGGGAGGGGAGGGAGGGAGGGAGGGAGGGGTGGAAGGGGGAGGGAGGACAGGGAGGGAGAGGGAGAAGGAGAGGGAGAGGGAGAGGGAGAGGGGAGATGGGAGAGGGGAGAGGGGAGAGGGAAGAGGGAAGAGGGAGAGGGAGAGGCAGAGGGAGAGGCGGCGAGGGCGAGGGCGAGGGAGAGGGAAAGAGGAAGAGGGAGAGCGAGAGAAAGGGAGGAAATGGGGGGAAAGGAAAGCAGGGAGGAAGGGAAGAAGAAGGCAAGGGCGCCAAAAAAGAAGAAGGCAAAAACGCGAGCAAACGAACAAACAAGCAAGCAACCAAGAACTCGAGGAAACAAAGGGAAGAAATATATAAGGAAAGTCAATAAGCACAAAGCAGCAGCAACACAAGGAATAACGGCAAACAGAATAGATATGTAGATGTGCCTGTGTGTATGCGTGTATATACCTCTACTCCGGTCAGACACCTGAAAGGTGAGCCGGCACTTACAAGGAATAGCGGATTAAAAAACAGATATGTATATGTGCATATGTGTATGCATCTATACTCCTCTACTCCGGTCAAGTACTTGAAATTCCAGTCAGATACCTGCAAGGTGAGCCGGCGCGCACAAGGAATAGCGTCTTTTCGACAGATATGTATATGTGCATCCGCCTGGTTAGAAATGGTCTTTGAGATTGATCATGGTCAAAAAGAAATGAATTTGCTTAATGCACCACTCAACAACGAGGTCATGGGGTAGCGGCTCCAGTTATTGCACTGCCAAGCAGCACCGCTGATGCTCATGATGCGCGTGTCTTGTCCGCCCCCAAACCTGGTGATGCTGGTCCTAAAACCCAAACCGCCTGGTCCGTCTCGTTCTCCCACAGCCGAAATCTTGAGCCAGTGAGTGTTTATGAGAGGGTCTAGTGAAGAGGGACATGCGATATGTGATAAGTGCGCACCTGTGCACAATCAAGTGTGACTCCAAGCCTATTGAAATCTTGCCGCACACGAAGCCATGGAAATCCACCCGGACGAGGTGCGGTTCAACCGCACAAAACATGTAATGCTCAAAAAAATCAACTTTTCCAACCCTTGCAACGCACGAAACACTGCTATGCTCAAAAAATTCCAAACTTTTAAGGACTCTGCCCCCGGCCTGGCCATAGATGCCAGAATTTTGGGATTTTTTGAGCAGTACAGTGTTTCGTGAGTTTCAGGGCTGGAAATTTTGGAAGTTTTTTGAGCATCACAGTGTTTTCTGATGTCCAGGACAGGATATATTGCATCACAAGATAATTGTGTGCTTTCAACCGTTGTCAAGGACTGGAAGTAATGATTTATGTGTCTTCTGGAACAACAACGGTTTTCATTGCTCTTGTTAGGTAAGTATGAAAAAGGCCTAGTCGTTGCATAGTTTATTTCATATATGTTTTCGTTGGTTGGTAGATCTATGGCACCATCAGCACCGGCTCCAGTACCTGAGCTTTCTCGAAAATGGTTTTGGCCATTCTTCGGCAAGCTGCACCGCCTACAGATCCATCACTGTAGCAGCGCAAGCCTATCTAGAACTTAATTCATTTCATGTTGAAGACTGTGGGAAACTGTTTGCATCTTGCTATCATCAGAAACAATGGAGACTTCCTATTCGGTTTCCTATGAGACATCCTCATACCTATCAAGCAAGAGACATGAAGATTCCTGCTAACCCAGAAGAGAATTCTACGATGTCACCTGTAGTCTTTGAAGACTGAAGAGAGCTCTTTTTCATGTTGTGATACGAACTATGACAGCGTTTAAACCACAGTCACATACAGAAGGACCGGTATCGCTTTGTCAGGATGTGAGGGAGGTGTAGAAACCGATACAAGTCTTATGCCTCTTGCCCGTTTAATAAAAGATACCAGTAAGCAAGCTTCTCTTTGTTTCTTGATCACATCTGGGGAGTGTCGCTTGAAGATTGAAGAGAGCTACTTTTTCCGCTACGTTCTATGACAGCAATTAGAGAAACAGCCATGGACATAGCGATCGGCATCTTCTGCGGGTATAGGACAGCATCATTAATAAGAGTTAACCGAATGAAAACTCATGGCCCTCCATGGAGTGCCATTTTACTTTGTTTTACAAGGTTAAGGAGCCCCTGCCTTGTGATTGATACGTATCAATGCAGCCAGTCGTAATTAGTCCTGCTCCATGTTTGGAAGGTTGCAAGAGCTCTCTTACTTATTGCTGCAGACGAGCCTTCTTGTGCGCCCGCATATGCACATGAACTTTCCAACTCCAGGGGGGCTTTCCCATTTTTTATGAGGCAAAGAACAACTATTGGAGTATTGCTTCAAAAATAAATGCGCCCGTATATTCGACTTCCTCCGTGTATAACGGACAGGACATGAAAGGAGCTCTTTGTGTTTCGTAACTCATAAATCAAATGCTAGAGCTATGAGGCCGCATCAGAATCGGACGCTCACGAGCAGCGGGAAAGAGATGGCCCACGCACACAGACGTTCTCGTAAGAAAGACAATAGTATTTTTATTATTAGAGGAATGTCGTTAAATAACACACCATAAAACGCAAAAAACACGAGGTTTTTTAGTACTACCTGAACAAAAATAGCACGCCCTCCAGCATTTCAGCTTCTCCAACATATAAACTACCATAAATCTGCTGCCGAGATTCGGCGCCAGACTTTTACACATATCAAACCCGCGACTTGTAGCAGTACTGTTTGCATGCATATGGAGTAAGGCACAATTGTATCGGAATTTACGGTGTTTTCGGCATATATGAGTAGTCGACCAATGTAGAGAAGCAACCTGTGGAATTGTGTGGAAGAGGCGGATGTAGATCTTGGGGGGGGGGGTGACCATATATATATATATATATATATATACTCTATATTTAATTTATATATTGACATACTACCGACCCTCCTTTCTTCCTTCTTTCTTTTCGTCCTTGCTTCCTTCATTCCTTCCTTTCCTCCCTTCTTGCTTTGTTTCTTTCTTTTCTTCCTTCGATCCTTTTTCCTTGCTTCCTTTCCTTCCTTCCTTCCTTCCTTCCTTGTGTCCTTGCCTTCTTGTGAAGAAGTCAGGAGGCCAGGCCAGGTCGAGAAGCCAGGAAGCCAATTAGTGTTGACGCAAAAAAGGCCAACAAGACAGCAAACCAGGAAGGAAATCCCATAAACCAACAAGCCAAAAGACGACAACAAACCAGCAAGGAAAGCCAAAAAGCCGAGAAGCAGAAAGCAAAAGCAAAAAGCAAAACCAATAAAAAGCAAAGGCAGAAAACAACAGGCCAACGCCCAAAAGCCGAATAAGCAAAAGCGAAAAACAAAAAAAAATCCCAAAAAAAACAAAATAAATTCTTGAGTTTCAGGGCTGGAAATTTCGGAAGTTTTTTGAGCATCACAGTGTTTTCTGATGTCCAGGACAGGATATATTGCATCACAAGATAATTGTGTGCTTTCAACCGTTGTCAAGGACTGGAAGTAATGATTTATGTGTCTTCTGGAACAACAACGGTTTTCATTGCTCTTGTTAGGTAAGTATGAAAAAGGCCTAGTCGTTGCATAGTTTATTTCATATATGTTTTCGTTGGTTGGTAGATCTATGGCACCAGCAGCACTGGCTCCAGTACCTGAGCTTTCTCGAAAATGGTTTTGGCCATTCTTCGGCAAGCTGCACCGCCTACAGATCCATCACTGTAGCAGCGCAAGCCTATCTAGAACTTAATTCATTTCATGTTGAAGACTGTGGGAAACTGTTTGCATCTTGCTATCATCAGAAACAATGGAGACTTCCTATTCGGTTTCCTATGAGACATCCTCATACCTATCAAGCAAGAGACATGAAGATTCCTGCTAACCCAGAAGAGAATTCTACGATGTCACCTGTACAGTAGTCTTTGAAGACTGAAGAGAGCTCTTTTTCATGTTGTGATACGAACTATGACAGCGTTTAAATCACAGTCACATACAGAAGGACCGGTATCGCTTTGTCAGGATGTGAGGGAGGTGTAGAAACCGATACAAGTCTTATGCCTCTTGCCCGTTTAATAAAAGATACCAGTAAGCAAGCTTCTCTTTGTTTCTTGATCACATCTGGGGAGTGTCGCTTGAAGATTGAAGAGAGCTACTTTTTCCGCTACGTTCTATGACAGCAATTAGAGAAACAGCCATGGACATAGCGATCGGCATCTTCTGCGGGGTATAGGACAGCATCATTAATAAGAGTTAACCGAATGAAAACTCATGGCCCTCCATGAAGTGCCATTTTACTTTGTTTTACAAGGTTAAGGAGCCCCTGCCTTGTGATTGATACGTATCAATGCAGCCAGTCGTAGTTAGTCCTGCTCCATGTTTGGAAGGTTGCAAGAGCTCTCTTACTTATTGCTGCAGACGAGCCTTCTTGTGCGCCCGCATATGCACATGAACTTTCCAACTCCAGGGGGGCTTTCCCATTTTTTATGAGGCAAAGAACAACTATTGGAGTATTGCTTCAAAAATAAATGCGCCCGTATCTTCGACTTCCTCCGTGTATAACGGACAGGACATGAAAGGAGCTCTTTGTGTTTCGTAACTCATAAATCAAATGCTAGAGCTATGAGGCCGCATCAGAATCGGACGCTCACGAGCAGCGGGAAAGAGATGGCCCACGCACACAGACGTTCTCGTAAGAAAGACAATAGTATTTTTATTATTAGAGGAATGTCGTTAAATAACACACCATAAAACGCAAAAAACACGAGGTTTTTTAGTACTACCTGAACAAAAATAGCACGCCCTCCAGCATTTCAGCTTCTCCAACATATAAACTACCATAAATCTGCTGCCGAAATTCGGCGCCAGACTTTTACACATATCAAACCCGCGACTTGTAGCAGTACTGTTTGCATGCACATGGAGTAAAGCACAATTGTATCGGAATTTACGGTGTTTTCGGCATATATGAGTAGTCGACCAATGTAGAGAAGCAACCTGTGGAATTGTGTGGAAGAGGCGGATGTAGATCTTGGGGGGGGGTGACCATATATATATATATATATATATATACTCTATATTTAATTTATATACTGACATACTACCGACCCTCCTTTCTTCCTTCTTTCTTTTCGTCCTTGCTTCCTTCATTCCTTCCTTTCCTCCCTTCTTGCTTTGTTTCTTTCTTTTCTTCCTTCGATCCTTTTTCCTTGCTTCCTTTCCTTCCTTCCTTCCTTCCTTCCTTGTGTCCTTGCCTTCTTGTGAAGAAGTCAGGAGGCCAGGCCAGGTCGAGAAGCCAGGAAGCCAATTAGTGTTGACGCAAAAAAGGCCAACAAGACAGCAAACCAGGAAGGAGATCCCATAAACCAACAAGCCAAAAGACGACAACAAACCAGCAAGGAAAGCCAAAAAGCCGAGAAGCAGAAAGCAAAAGCAAAAAGCAAAACCAATAAAAAGCAAAGGCAGAAAACAACAGGCCAACGCCCAAAAGCCGAATAAGCAAAAGCGAAAAACAAAAAAAAATCCCCAAAAAAAACAAAATAAATTCCTCAAATAATTAGGATTCCCGATTCTGAACGACAAGCCACGGGATGATGAGGAACAGGGGATGCTTCTCCATCTCGCCGCATTTGTGGCAGGTGCCTGACATGGTGGTGGGATTTTGGCATTCTCACGACATTTTCAGCACATGGTAGGGGACACCGTACTTTTCAGCGAATTCGGGCGGGTGAGGGGAACTGGCCTAATTGAGCAAATCCGGTTCGCACATCGTTGGAGAGCAATTCTCAGCAGCGTACTGCTGTAGTAACATCTTCCAGAATGTAAGCTCAAGTGCAGGACATGTATGCAGATGGAAGGCCCTCGGCGTGTGCTACGGCTGTGTTTTGCATGATGGTCTTGAGAATTGCGGTAAGCCTTTAGCGGACGTCTGGCCCCAAGCATGTTGCTGTGTAGATGCTTTCGGCACAGCTCCTTCAGTCCCCAGATTCTTCCTCTTTCAACCAGGCCCAACATGCGTCTCTGGCCTGCTTGCTTGTAGAAGCCTGCTGCACAGGCTCCGCAAGCAGCTCCCTGCAAGCCTCAAGAGAGTGCAAAGAAAACATCACTTGTGCATCGTCATTAAATAGCTCGGCACACTTGCTGTGTTTGCACGCACTCAGTAAGGGATCAAGAGCCCTGAACTTGAAAGCTTGGTGCCTTCTCCGCAGTTCGAGGCCATGCCGCCCGGGCAGGAGGGCAGGTCAATGCACCTCAGGTCGACAAACGTCTTCTGTGAGCTATCCCCGAAACTTTCATCTACATCCAGCCTCTTGCCAGCGAACAACGGTCAATCCTTCTTATTCTTCTTGATACATCAAGACGTCAAGTGGCTCACAGCACGTTGACATGCAAAACAAGCCATCCAGCACCGTGACCGTGACCCAAGAAAGCAGACGTTTGAACGAGCCGTCCCAAAGTGACAAAAGCCTCCTGTGGCCAAAAGTTCGCGCGAGCCATTACAGCAACCGGCCGTCTCCTTGAACTCTGGGCTGAGCCAGAATCCCATCTAATTTGATTAAACATAACCTGTTGTAAACGAATCAAAGGCTCTTGAAGACCCACAACGGCTCGTTCCACTCCACGAAGTAGCCTTCCTGCCGAAGTCGGGGAGCCAAACTGGTCAAATCCACCATCGGGAAATCAAACCTTCGATTCTACGAGATTCTTCGTTGAGGACCTCTCGTGAGCTGATCACGGACTCCTGGAAAAACACGATGCAGATTGTGCTGCCTGAACTCTCCGTCGTGCAGTGGTGTTGACGTGCTGCTGTTCTGCTGACCCCGAACAGATACATTGCTTTCATTGCCTGATGTCCCAACCGTTGGGCCCGGTGTGTTTGCAGGTGAAAGTCTTGCATTGCGGTCCCGACTTTCTAGACATTGCCTGTGGGAGACTCGGGGAACTGCAACAACCGAGATGGTGGTAGCTCTGTGGAACAGTCAAGCTGATTTAGTGAGAGCCATGGGTTGCAGAGCATTTCACGACAGGAACTGGCGGCTTCACATCATCGTAACTGGCCATCAGCATCGTTGCGACAGGGCAAACCGCAGATCATTCGAGCAGAACTTCCCAGACAAGAATACCTCGCAAGTCCGCTCAGAGCCGTCAGACAAGGGCCGTTGCAATCTTACAGCTCATCGTCTCGTTCCAGTCACTTCCGGTTCTAAAAAGAAACCCAGCGCCGTGCAGAAAGGCGTAGGCTACGCGGATGGAGAAGATGCTACAACCTCCTGCATGCTCAGATACTTCCATGTCCTGCGGCACAGGATAGCTGAACGCAGTGGAGTTCTGAATCTCCTGGCAAATCAATTCAATCACCGTGGCAAAAACCTGCGCAACATGGAAACCCCTCACGCACCCCTGCCAGTCCCTTTCACGAGAACCTTGTATAGCACCATCAACAACCAGCATTCCACGATCCCTACTGCGAAAGCCTATCACGGAGTCCCTACCTTTAAGAGTCAACATTTCAAGAAGAACGACATCGTGACTTTCAACGAGGCTTGCGCAGGGTAGGACCTTCACCCTATATCACACTTACCCCATCAGCTTTAGCCATCTCCGACCTCATCTGAACAAGGGAGGAACCTTAGCTGTTCTCACGACGCCATCTTGCAAGTCGAAGTCAGCAGCGGAGCTCCCCACGCTAGCCACTATTTCACAGCCCTAACATCCCTAACTCACTGCATGGGCAGCTGCCGCAGTCATGCAAGGATATACGTCCGGGAGGTTCCAGAGGACTTTGTGACTGGGTCTTCTCTCGCGTCTCCTATAGGACAGGCTTCGTTTGATTTCATCGTGTCTTGATTTGTTTGGTGCACCGTTGCTCTCCAAGTTGAAGCCTCGACTAGACTACGTTCTGCTAGCCTTCGAAGATGTTCGGAACTCACTACCTTGACACATTCTTGGGATGCAGATGGTTTGGCATCTTATTCCAAATCTTTGGGAATCTCGCCTAGATCTGCAAAACGTCCCCTGCCAACAGCGGAAAGTGCGAGGACTCCTGGGAAGGACGTTTGCAGCATCCAAAGTTGAAACGCTTCAAAGTCATTCTCAACTTCCGACAAACCTCACCGCATCTGCAGAACCCTGAAGCCCAGAGGCTGTTCATCGGAGCCCTCCGGACACTCCATGCCTTCCCAGGCTTCCAAGGAGGCACTTCTGTTTGTCCCAGGCCGTTTGATTACACAGCTCTCTCCAATCTCGAAGCTTGTGCGCAACTTTCTGCAGCCGAGACCAGTCGGCTGTGACTGCAACGGCCTTCCGGGCATGGCAGGCATCGCTGTCCGATGCTGGAAGCTGGGACATACAGCGATGTATCCTTGGATTCAACAAACCCAATGCATCTGATACGCGGCCAGGTAGGGTTCTCGGGCAGGTTGCACTTCCCGAACAACGTTTCTACTGGTAGCTAGCCGCTAGCCAGGTAGCAAGTCCAGGGGCATGTTCAAGCCTTTTCAGTTGGAGGGTTGCAGGGAGCAGAGCTTCACAGATTGCACTGACGAGGATCACATTGGCACTCCGGTCGAAGCGCCCCGCCGTCGTCAAAGTCGTGGCATGGGCGATAGGTGCCCGCGGGGCAGATGCAGGCTTCCTGGAAGAAAACTTGCCCATGCAGAAAAGGAGTCTCGACGAAACAAAATCCGATGCATCAGCATCCAACAGGCCGTGCTTTGTCTAGGTCGGAAACAGAAACGATTTACAGAGGTCAGGGATTGGCCTAACGACAAATTCTGGAGACCCGAACGAAAGACAGCTCGATGATTTATTTGGCTGCAAGTAGCAGAATCGCCAACACTTTCCTGGTCCGGGATGTGCACTCCACTGCCGCATGGTTTGGTCCAAACCAAAGCAGCAATCCGGTCCTGCGAAGTGGAGCCAACAGTCGCCGTTGTCTGTGGCTCCTCTGGCGTGGCATTTCAGGTCCGTCTCGATGCACCGGAACAACTGAAGAAATCGAGCTATCGTTGTGGGGTACGATGTGAATGCCAAAACTGCAGAGTCCGAGAAACAAAGGAGCAGTGAATCGGTGCTTTTTCTTGAGCGAGAAGAGGACGCAGGATCTCCAACACTCTAGGGCCCGGGCAAGGCAGCTGAGGCAGCTTGTCTGGGATATGTTGGGCTGGTAGGTGCCTCTGCGGCATCGGGCACACCGAGTACCTCAAGAGCACTGTCGAAGCCCCGAGCAATGCAACCCCATCTTCACTGGAAGCTCTCGCATGGGGCATCAACCTCGGACATGTGGCTACAGCACCGAGAAGCCTGTAGGCAAACTGTAGGTTCCGGCTTCGCACTCTGCGCCTCAGTGAGAGCTACGATAAGACACTGCACTGCTGCGGGTCCCAGTCAACCCGACATTGGTGGCAATCTCAGACTACATGACTGCAGTAGGTGCAGCCCCGATGACGACACTCCCTTATCGGCTCCTTCTGCCTTCGAAGCAGTGGCGGAGTCTGCGATGCTTGGATTTCGACGTCTTCCAAAGATTCGAAGTCACAGAACGTAGTTGTTACCGAACTTCTGACTTCAATGAGATGAGCAGCTCAAGAGGTCACTGCAGTCAGACTTTGCAGCCAACACTCATGCAACGGTTTCGTCCCTCGAAGACTTGTTCAATTGGACACCGGAGGCCCAAACGGCAGCAGAAGACCCGGGTAAGTTCCATGTGGAAGCTCGGATCTGTAACTAGATACAGGAGATGGAGGAAGGACCGACTTTGTTCGGATTGATCCTTCAGACAGAAAGAAAGGAAAATCAGAGTTAAGTGAGCAGGAAAGACGGAGCTTTGCCAAAACGGCAAACAAATCAATCAGGATCTTTCCATGCAGCCGCTTCGACATGATACAAGTGAGGACCCAACCTGAACAGCCTGAAGAAGTCTTGGTTCCCCAAGACTAAATGAACCGCGGAAGGTCCAGGCCAGGCTGGGCCTGTCTCCGATGGGAGTGCTGGCAAGCGACAGGCTGTCTGTGCACCCCGGTCTTGAGCTGCTCCTTGGGGGCCTGAGGGTCGTGGCGGATGGGCAAGGATTGTCTTGGCAACCTGCTCAAGAAAGATTATAGATACCGTGGATATGTGCTTTGCAATGCTTTGCAAATTGAGCTTGGCTCTTTGTTGAGGAACTTGAGCTGCGAGGTTTGCGGCCTAATCAGCTTCTAAATCAGGTGAGGCCTGGCTTTCCCCGCAGCTCTGCAAGGAACTATGGACCGAGATTGCTCTTGACAAGCATCACGTGCTTATCTCACTCGCAGACCCAGGCGCAGGTGTTGCAGATGGCTGAGTTGCCATCGTCGTCCTCGGCTTACAGCTGTGCACTTGTGGACAGGCCTCTCGTAGTTACATTTACTGGGACTGCTCGGGTTGTGGATGCTTGCAGGCTTCAAAGGAGCAGGCGCGATGTTGCTAAGGCATTTATGCATTTCCCCGTCGCGCACACGACATCCGACATCGGGCGGTTTGCCATAGCGAAATCGCACCGTCCTTCTAGCATGGTGTGGGATCTCCAGCCAAACGAAACACTCCGAAGCTTCCATACTCGTATCTGAACCTATTCACCCAGTCACACACACAGTGTAATGCATCGAGGGTCTGAGTAAGCATCCGCAAATCGTCCCGGCACACACCTTGCTTGCAAAACCAGCGGTGGTCACCCAGCGACTACGGAAGCGCACCACGAGGCTCTAGAATACTCTTGCCGCATGCAAACGTGGGCATATCACTGCTGTCAGCGCTAGAGTACTGATGGAAGTCCACTGCAGTCACCAAGGCACAGTGCACATCCAGCCGCATCGGGAAGCCGTGTCTTGGCGAGTAAGCGTCGAGAGTTTCTTGGGAGGTCTCGCAGTTTGGTTGAGCCAGCGGGTCTCGCCAAATGTCACAATGGAATTCGATGGTACAGACTGGGAGCTTCGCATAGTGCTTTTGCCTTGAGATTTGCAGAAAGCCACGAGTGGCATCTCATCGGCTACTTGCAGGGAGGCTTGGGTTTGCTCAGACTT